CAGCACCCGGCACCCCTCAGCTGGGCATCACCAGCCCCCAGACCCCAGGGGAGCCCCTACGCCACCCGCAAACCCCCCTAGGCGCTTGCAAACCCCTCCTAAATGCTTGCAAACTTCTCCAAGATGGCCACAAACCCCCCCCAGACGGCCACAAACCCCTCCTAGCTGCCCACAACCCCCGCCAAATGCTTTCAACTTCCCCTAGACACTTACAACACCCCTTAGATACTCACAACCCCCCCAGATGCTTTCAACCTCCCCTAGATGCTTGCAAACCTCTCCCAGACAGCCACAAACCCCTCCTAGACAGCCACAAACCCCTCCTAGACAGCCACAAACCCCCCCTAAGCACTTATAACACCCCCTTAGATGCTCACAAGCTCCTCCAGATGCTTTCAACCCCTCCAAGCTGCCCACAAACCCCTCGCAGATGCTTTTGACCTCCCCTAGACACTTGCAACACCCCCTTAAACGCTCACAAAATTTTCCAGATGCTTCCAACCCCCCCTAGATGCTTACAAACTCCTCCTAAACATTTCCCAACCCTCAATGGGGTGCAGGGAAAGGGAGATGGGGACCCCAAACACCCACCCAGGGGTCTTCACCACTCACGTGATGGGGAAGTTGACGATGGTGGGGTTCTTCTCCACGAAGAAGTTGTTCTTGGTGAAGCGCTTGATGCAGAAGATGAGGTAGGGAGGCAGCTTGGTGAGCTGGAAGCGCTTGAGGAAGTTCTCCTTGTAGGTCTTGTACTCCTTCTCGGTAGCGCCATTGAATTTGGCCAAGATGCTGAAGAGGGGGACCTGGGGGATGATGAGCTGCTCCTTCTCGTCCTTGTAGAGCGGGGCGGTGGGAAGGTCCAACGTCAGGTACATGAAGGTGGATTCCACCATCATCTCCTGGTACTCGGTGTTCTGCAAGAGCTGCGCCTTCTCCTCGGCCGGCTGCGGGACATGGGGCTCAGAGAGGGGGCTTGTAGACCCCCCGCAGGGGTGAGAACCTCCCCCCTTTGCCCCCTCCACGTACTCACCAGGTCCGGGTGAGGCAGCTTTTTGGTGAAGATGCGCATGGAGCCCTGGAAGACGTCGGTGACGATGGCTGCGGGGACAGAAAGACGTTGAGGGGGGACCAGGGGTGACGAGCGTCACCCAAGGGGGTGCCCCAAGGGAATAAGGGGCCTTCGTCGCCCTCCGCTCACTTTTCTTCTTCTTCTTCGTGCCGCCCAGGGCCGAGTGCAGCGCATTCAGGAACCAGGAGAGGAAGTCCACCCCGTCCCCTACAAACCAGGGGATAAATCAGAACCTGGGGGGCCGGAACCAGCGCCCACCCCACCACCACCATTCCATCCCGCTCCTCGCCTTGCTTGGTGATCTGGAAGTTCTTCTTGCTGCAGAGCACCACGGCCTGCAGCATCTCGTGGGGCGAGACGTGCGCTTTGAAGTTCCGGGGGTTCCACAGCTTCCGCATCAGCTCCCCGAAGCGCTGCACCAGCAGGAACATGATATCCCCGGGTGGGCGCTGGATGCTCTTGTAGTTCTCTTCCTCCAAAAAATAATTCCTCAATGGCGGAACGTTGGATAAAGCCTGCAGGAGAGGAGCCGGGAAGCGTCCCCGTCAGCCCTGGGGTGGGGTTGGGGTGGTGTTCACCCCAAAAACAAAGCCTGGAGCTCCCCCCAGTGATACCTGAAGGACGGCATTGGCGTAGTCGTTGGCTTTGATGTTGTTGAGCCCCACGATGCCGGGCAGGTATGTGGTGCCGTCGTAGGCACGGGAGAGCTTGGCCTGCTTGTCCAGGTTGGTGATCTGCTGCGTGGTGAAGGTGGGCTTCAGCACGTACTGCGGGAGAGAAACAGCGTCGGAAAAGGCAGGGGGGACATGAAGCTGAACCCCCCGACCCGGGGCAGCTCGGTCCCCACCGCACCGTGATGTCCTCCAGCGAGGAGTCGATGATCTCGTAGTTGTCAGGCAGGCAATAAAACTTGAGGGTGTGGAGGTTGAGGAAGACATGGTGGCTGAACTGGACGCTGTGGATGTAGGCGTG